TGATGGCCCAGTCAGTACTATGGTTGGGGACAACATGGGAATACTGGGTGCTGTAACTTTTTGTCATTCGAGGCATACTTGACTATTATTATTTGTCGGGGATGATGCTGAAATTTTGACTTATTTTATTATGAAATTTTAAAAAATTTTCGGGCCTTTTCGGTAGGGTTTTTTTTAGAGTTAGGTTAGGGTTTGAGGGTAGTGTTGTTAGTAAAAAAAGTAAGTGAATTTTAGTAGGTATTATAGATTTAAATGGGGACCCTAAATTTCAGCATCAGCCAATTTCATCATCCCCGACATTATTTACTTAAAAAGTAAGCAAACGGGTTATTGAAATTTTTTGACTGTTATATCCATCATTAAACGACTCGTTACAGTAAATATTTTAAATCAATTTTACAATATATATAATTTATTTGTTATTAATTGTTATAAAATAATACTCTATATCTTACGTGAATCAAAATCCAAATGATTTATTTGCATTGAATTAAAGATATCATTAAGTAAATAACTACATTCAATTATTGAACCAATCATCTAATACATTTGAAATTTGTTCATATGTTTTAATTTTTATCTTAAGTAGAAATATGCACTAATATAGTGTAGTATAGTATTCGTAATACTGAAAAGACCTATAATTATTAATTTTTAGTATACCATCTTTTCGGCGGCAGACTTTAAGGTTCATAACAGTTATTTGCACCATTACGAATTAGTCGTAAAAATTATCGGTCCGTTTGGATAACTTGCTGCATTGAATACATGAAGACCGCCACTTTGTTCTATTACTGACAAAGTATTTGAATTATTGTTATTTATTGGACCTGTAATTGGCAATCGATAATTCGCTAAAAGAGGCGTTATATATTCTATTTCACCAGCAGGATATTCTATTGAATAACTAGGTAGTGCACATAATATTGTAACTAGAATGAGAATTTTCATTAAAGTTACTTTAGATATTGAATAAATTATCAATATAAAAAAGAATTTTATCCTTCTTGAATTAATCTCAATGATTTTTTAAATCTGTCTTAAATTTAACCTATTGAGTGTTCGTCCCAAAAATGTACACTGTGAGAGTCAAAACCAATCTGGGATCTCAAAATATGGGTCTCATGGATATCAACTACTAAACTGTATCCGAACCCTAATGTTGGAAGGCAGAAAGGAGGCAAGGAGAGACTTGGTCCGAGTTATTAGGTTAAATAGAGCTCTAGATTACGTCACGAGGCTCTAATTCGGGATCACGGGATTAAACTACTTATTCTTACACAAATTTGAGTAATCGGGGACTTTATAGTCAGGATAAACAGGCTCTTCAATTGAGTCGAACTCTAGTGAGTTATGCCAACTCTCAGTTTTTTTATTGTGAAAACAAGAGACATAATATTTATACTTTTTACTCTCCTATCTAAATACAGAGTTTGAAGTTGAACTTATTCACTAAATACGATAAAGCGGATAAATCCGCTAAAGCGGATAAAGTGGATAAATCCGCTAAGGCGGAAAGTGAATAAACCGACTAAGTTCAATATACTAACTAATTTTGGTAAAATGTTAGAGCCACCTCAGCTTTGATCAATAAATATACCAAATCCACCGAATATATGAGCATCCGACCCAATATAAAGAAAAGGTTCAAAAATCACCCTTTGCATGCTATAAATGTTTCGCTTATTCTATAAAAATGCTGTTTTTATTAAGTTTTATGTAGCAACCAGTCATACAATTTTGGAACCAGCCAATTAAATCATGTTTTTTATGGTCGGTAGACTCTATAATTAACTTGCCTAAATTAATTTAATTCAAGTCGAGCGCAAAATATACGAAAAGTTTTCATGGACTATCACTTGTTTATCTTTTCTAGTTTAGATATGATAAAAGTTAAAGATTAATTTAATATACAGTATTTCTCTACTATTAAAAAGATATCTACATGTATTTTTGCATATTATAAGAGCATAAAAATTAAAACCAGTTTAGAGTGATGCCAAAGTAAAATCGGTAAATCATTTTTGAAATATTTACTTTTAATAAAAATATCTTAAAGCTAAGTAATTGAGGACTTAAGATTTTAATATTGGAAGTTTCGGAATTGACTTATTTCGAAAATAAGTGGGTGTTTAAAAATCATTCTTCGGGTTTAAATTTCGAAACAGAAAATTAAATAAGTATGTATACTCGGTGATAAAATTAACTTCTTTTATAAATATATACCAGTAAACGGTTATGTAAATAAGTGTATACTTTTTAAAAATATATATATGATTCACAGATCACTTGTTTTGAAATAAATATATCACTTATTTTATCTAAAGTCGGGTATCGAATCATTAATTCTGAAACCGCTATTCGAATCTTTTAATGAGATGATTCAATGATATTAAAATCTCAAATGTTAATTTACTTATTTTATTAAAAGTAAATATACAACAAACGACTCACAGGCTTTCCTTTGGCATCAATCAAATGGAAAAGATGCATAATCTTGAGCAAGAAAGCAAAATTCCGAGAATATAGTTGTTAGTATCTGTTGTTCAAACACATATAAACATCATAATAAAAAATACTATTACTTTAAATACTATTACTTTTATTCATAAAAAGCACTTGTCGGAAAATAAATATAATTTACAGGACAGACTTATACATTATCTGTAGTGTTCTTATTTATACAACAGTCTATTTTATTTTCGCTGAATTTGGAATACTTCGTATTCCGATACTGAAAATTCACCTTCTATATTTCTAATTGGCTTTTCATATGATGGTTTGGCAAATAAAGAATTATTATAACGATATTCGCATCCATTTTGATTAAAATTAGAAAACGTACGAATATTACCAAAATGTGGACCTCTATTAGAAGCAAAATAAATTGCCATTTGTGGATTTGTTACACGACTTAAAATAGAAGATTGAATAGTACCATTTTTCAATGAAAAAATAAAGCTATCATAGCAACTCACAAAATTATCAATTGATTTATCCCATTGAATTGGATTATAACCACCAAGAATTTCATTAGTGTCTTTAACCTTCATAACGACGATAGTATTTTCTTGCTTA